CGCTCAAAAAAAAAAACCTAAACCCAATATAGCCCCAATATAACCCTAATATAACCCTAATGTACCTGCCAGGTAATCGACTACGACCGCATGTCCCAGCAAGAGCTGCAGCGGCATTTTGGACATCAAGATGCTGCCAACATGCAAAGGCTGTCCAAAGGCCCCCCCACTTAGGGTTTAGGGTTTAGGGTTTCAATTCTGCTTTCAAAATTCTGACACGAAGTGTGCAGGAAATATTGCTCTCGCCCTGCTGCTGGAAGATCAGCACATCAAGGCTGATCCCAACAGCGGCCAGGCCTGGCGGATATAGAAACGCGAAGGTCTTTGGGATATTCAGCACCTACATACATGAAGGCATTGAACAACTCATGAACATATATTTGTCTGACAAGCTCCGGCAGGCTGGACCGAATGGTGGTCACAGTCTAGTAGTGGTTGGCAGCTGAGCACGGCAGATGATTCATGTATGGGTTTGGTCTTCGCACGTGCTGAAGGTTAACACCCACATCTTGTGCGATCCGAGCGCTTCTGATGTGAAGCTGTGGCAGGTGTCAGTGCACCTGAGACTTGTCCATTGTGTTTTCGGTAAGCCGATGTTGATGTTTTTGCGACGCATGGTCCCACTGGTGACGTCACTCATTGCGCAGACGCACCTGCTGCTCCAGAACCTGAAGCAGACACGATGGGACCATATGCAGATATGCTCAGATTCCCTCTCTTCCAATTCACTTTTGCGGGTTCTGGCTGCATCAGATGCGAGTGGGCTTCTAGACCTGGCAGTTGTTGCGCGTTGAGGCCGTTGCTTCTGGCTGGAGACTTCAACTCCACGCCAGATTCGGCAGTCGCAGCCTTTCGGGCTGGCCCGCAGCACATGTGCTTCTAACAAGATGCAGATTTCCATGCAAGCTGCAGACCGCGTCTCTATGCAAGCCGAAGTCTGAGCTGAGCTGAGGTCTACGAGTATCTGCGACATGGTCACGTCAATGAAGGGCACGAGGCCTTTTTTTCATGCCCCATGGACAGCCTGCAGGTGTTGTGAGTGTTTCTGCTAGGACTTACGGCATGATCCTTGTGGGCTCCTGGGTCGGCCAATGCCTTAGTCCCGTGAACATTGCTATCAGGACCTCTCTTGCCGACTTGCTGAGGTTGCGGGATCACATGCAGCACAACCTGCAGTTGGCGACAGCATATCAGACCTGCAATGGAGGGAACCTCAACAAGTCTCAACCGAGAAAGATTCATGTTGGTGTCCTTGCCTGTCTTGGCCCAGGCCAGGAAGCGCCCTTCACAAACTACACTGAGGCCACTGGCAGCTTGAAAATCGCACAAAAAATGCTGGGAATGGCTATGTGCCAAGGACTTCAAGGGCGCACTGGACTATGTGTGGTTCTCCCACCAGGCCTGCTTGTTGAAATCTACAGAGGATCTGCGGTCTTACAAACATGTTGAACATCTCCTCACGTGCAACCGCAATGTATTCCGTTGTGAATTCAATCATGTGGAAGTTCTGCTCTGAAGGCGCTTTCGGTGTTGGCAGTCACACAGGTGGACGACGAGCAAAGCTTGAAACAGGACAGCAGAGATGGCTGCGAAATGTTGACCCTGCGCACAGAAGATGGGAGTTCAGTTTGAGTTGAGCACTCAGATTTGCGCGGCCACCCGTTGAAGGAGACCGCCCTTCCGTCCAGCAACCGCCCGTCAGACCATGTTGCCTGCTGAGTGTGGTGCAAGCAAAGAGGTATGCCCAAATTCGGACCATAATCTCCCAGTCTCCAGGTGTCTCTTGTTGCGACTTTCATGTTCCATGATCTTCCTCAACAGCATGAACGAAAGGCCTGGTGGGCTTCAGGCAGAGTTTGCCAAAGCTTCTCAATTGCTCAACGTAGGTACGCCAGCACGCCGCTATGAGTGATATTCACCAAGCGTGCGCGTGTGGTTGTGTCTTGAATAATGGCTAGATTCCCTAGCTCTTACCTTCCCACAAGTGGTCCTTTCCAGGTACCATATGGCTGGCCTTGCGGGTCAAGGCCAGGAAGGGCCGGTTGGTTTCTTTAGCGCATGTCTCTGGGCACGTATCTCTGTCGAGGGCCCTGGGGCGATTACGGCATGGCCGGTGGTTGCTAGAGGGATCTCGAGGACTGTTGATGGTTCCCGACTTGTGCCGTTCGGTTGGTCCTGCTCTTGTTGCATCTCCGTGGTCTACATTGTTGCCTTCGCGCTTGACCCTATGTCTTGTTTCTTTCTGGCAACGTCACAGGAGCATGGTGCTTCGCCCAGAGTATCTCGATGAAGAAGGAGCTCAGTTTTGAAGAAGGACAACACCCTGAGCTACTATAACTACGATGTTTCTACATACATGTTTGTGGTTTAGAGGGGGGGCTGCCAAATAAAGAGGGGTTCTGATTACTACCCCGCCCCAAACAAGTAAAGGAACTGAATAATCCGGGGATCATCCAAATCTCGGCAAACTTGATTGGGGGCTCTCGAGCCCTGTCAGTTAAGTTTCCATTGCCAGGGATCCATTCCATCAATTCCGTTGAATGTGGCAAAAAGTACGCTCTATTCCGTACCCGTTTCTAGAATCCGTCCAGCCAAAAATGCGCTCTATTACGAACCCATTGACTAATCCGAAGCTAACATTACACCAGCCACGGATTTGGGTGTTATCGCCATGGTTAGACTCCTGAAGCGAGCCTGCCCGGTTCAACGAAAGAGAATGTTCACAACGGTCTTCAACAAACATTTGCTGTAGGTTGCAGGCAAGGTAGGTCTTGATATTATGGGCGCTTGTGAGCCGTACAGTGCAGCTGAGGCCAGAATATCTGGGCCAATGGAGAGACTGCATGCCAAATCGATCTCAGTGACATTGAATTCGCTGCTGCCGTGCCTCTCGCAGGCAGGCAGACTCTTAGTGTTGTCAATGTTATGTGCCTCGGTACCAGAGCGCCGAGGCCTTAAAAATCCTCGAACAGGGTTATCTCGCCCTTTATACACAGCCAACCGTCAATTAGGTGCAGCAGGGCGAGATAAAGAACCCGCACTTATGCACAGACGAATCTGTCATGTGCCGCCGTAGGTGGGCAATCAGGAAAGAAGCCCGCCAGAAGTTTCTCTTGCTACGTCGAACGCAAGCCCTCCAAAAGAAGCTCTTCAAGGTGTGCTTCTGCAGGTCGGATTCAAGGCATCTACCTGTGTGTGCAGCAGACTTGACTTCGAATGTGCAGCCTGCTTGAGCAGATAGTAGCAAGTAATCATCATGAGTGTTTCATGACAGGTTGTCAAGGTTAGCATCCTACAGCCAGCATCAGCCAGCATTAGCGTTTTCTTAAGTTGTAGCAATCCCTAAAACCACGGAGTCGCCGAGATGGGGGCCGCTTGCTTCAAGTGTGTTTCAGTGAGTGCTTTGACACTTTACCTGCTGACTTGCTGAAGCATCTCATGCATCAAGGCTTGTCAGTCACCAGAAGTGGTTGATACCTGGGAGAAAGAAGGCAGCTTCGGCAATATTTAGCGGGTGATGTGCTGCTGCGCATCTTCACCTCCGCTTGGTGGAGACCCTCGCAAGTAACGCTTTTGTCTGTTGTGCTATCAAACTGCCAGTGCATGTTGAAGATGGCGGTGCATTTGACCGCAATGCCGGGCCCCTGGATGTGATGCAAGTGTAGCCTCAGTCCAAGGCAGAGCTCCAACTTGCCCGAGGTATCTGAAATGGATGAGAACGACATGAAGAACTTCGATCCTGAGGCGCGCAGTTCAGCATATGCAGATATACATGAAAATACAAGAATAATATTACAATATAGTATATTATACTGCAAGTATATCATAATATACTGCAATGTACTATAAGATACTCTGATATACTATCAGAATACTAGAACATACTATAGTATATTACAGTATAGTAGAATTATACTATAATACACTACCATGTATGTGCTTATATCAAGAATCCGAACAGCTGAGCTCCTACTCCATGGCTGCAGGCAAGGCTTTGCAAGTTTGCTTGCGGAAAGACACTGGGCTGCAACCGAGTGGCATGTATTGTAATATTATAGTACTGTATTATGATGTATATCTTTAATGAGATTTTAGTACCCGGTATATATCATTATAGTACAGTTTCTGTATTATTGTAGCATACTATTGTATTATTGTTGTTTTAGCATATTAAAGTGTTAGTATAGTAGAGTAGAGTAGATTAAAGTAGAGTATAGTAGAGTACAGCCAGTGCATTCTGCCCTGACCGTCAGACCAGTCACTTCATCCAACGGGGTTGCTGTTAAATTAAGTTACCATAATAAGGAAACCCTACCAGCCAACCGCGCAGGAACGTCGTGCCTATAACCAAAGACTTGCTGCATTGTGGCCGAGGCCTGATAGAGAAGAATGGAAAGAAACGCCGGCAGCAATTGCACAAGCAGCCAGGGAAACTCTTACAATGGTAGACCGGAAGCAAAAACGAAATTACATTTCTAGACACACATGGAGTCTCATACAGAAAAGACAAGACGCGCATGAACAAGGCAAAATGGAGGAAGTAATCGAACTCAATCAGCATATCTCTAAGCAAGCCAAAAAAGACAAGAAACATGCGGTTTTGACCAGCTTAAAAGAAATTCCACACCAGAAAGAAAAATGGCAAGGGGTTAAGGGGTTGAAGCAGGACTTGAAGCCTCGATTCGTGCAAATGAAGGATATTAGGGGAAACTATGTGCCACCCAGTCGCAGAGCAGAAAGTATTGCTGAATATCTAGAGCAGAGGCATTGGTACAACGAAAACGATGTGCAAGTTGAGGGGAGGAATCTCATTAACAATCGCCAAAACAGCTTCAACACGAACCCTTTTTCACTACAGGAAATGGAGATAGTACTATCAAAAACCAAATCCGACAAGCAACGTGGACCAGACGGATTAATGATGGAGTTGTTCAAATGGATGGATATGGGCAACAGGGAGCATATTTTAAGCATTCTAAACAAGTGGTGGGAAGTGGCATCAGCGCCCGGAGAATTATTTTTAGCAAGAGTGGTCTCAATTTATAAGAAAGGAAACACAGATGAACCGGCCAATTATCGTCCTATTTCTCTCCTCAATTCTATGTACAAGGTTTACATGTCTTTGATCAGAAACCGATTACAACAAACGTTGGAAGAGAATCTATGTCCCACGCAATATGGGTTCAGACCCAGCCGAAGCACTGCGCATGCCATTTATCTGACGCGTCGCTTACAGGATATTTCAGAACAGCAAGGCAGCAATCTAGTCATTGCTCTGCTTGATTGGGAATAAGCTTTTGACAGACTACAGCATGACAAGCTAAGTATCGCCTTATACCGTTTAGGCTTACCTCAACATCTCATTAACACAATTGAGAATGGCTTCGCGCATGCAAAGTTTTACGTGGAAGATGAATACAGCAATTCAGGCATTAAGACACAATCTGCAGGAATTAGGCAAGGATGCCCATTGTCACCATATTTGTTTGTTCTAGTCATGAGCGTCATCGATAATGATGTTTGTTCCAACCTCTCTTTGCGAACGATCAACGCTAGACACAGCGGGATTGATTTGGACCGCATTTATTATGCTGATGATACTCTAGTTACAACAAACACGCGTGCAGCACACGACATCCTTCATTAGATTGAGCTAGTATCTATACAATTTGGCTTGCAATTGAATAGAGACAAATGCGCATTCATTGCAATGAATGGAGACAACCAAATAAGATTCAGGGATGGCACCAAACTCAAAAAAGTTTACGAAGCCACATATTTAGGACACCAGCTTACACAAAACATGCATGTTCGACACGAGATAAATCACAAAATGCAACAAACACTCGTAACGTGGTATAAGCTTGAACCCTTATGGAAAGCAGCAGGATGTTCTAAAAAATGGAAACTCGAGGTATACGATGCAATAATAAAGAATAAGCTATTATACGGTCTTGAAACAGTACACCTTACAATGGCAATGCAAAAGAAAGTAAACGCCTTTCAACTCAGAGGGTTTCGAAAAATACTCGGAGTGCAAACGACGTATGTAAATCGTGCAAACACGAACGAAGTTGTGATGCGCAAAGCAAATGAAGAAATCAACAAAAAACCGCTCGGGAAATAAGAGGGTATTGAAACTGTTCTCGGATTTGGTGCTGGAACGTCGCGGCAGATTAGCAGGTCACATTATTAGAGCTCCCCCAGAAGATCCTCTTAGACAAGTTAGCTATCAGCCCAACTCCGCAGACAGTTATACAGTAGGGAAGCGACGGGTTGGAGGACCAAGGCAACAATGGTTATTTCATTCCAACAAATACATATTGGAAAATGTTCTTGGCCATAGCTTCAACCCGTACATAAGCAGCCAACACCAGAACAACGAAATATTCCGGACAGCAAATGACCGCCAATTTTGATTTTCCAGCCGCTCTCCACGCACAAACGGCCTCTTAAGCCATCTAGAGCGATGCGAGGCTATGGCATTGAAAAATACCCGTATCATGGCAACTTGATTCAAGTTTCTTTATAGCAACCCAGCGAAGCCCAGCACAAATGTAAATTTTCTATGTGAGCGGCCCAATAGCTGAATGAATTTGGTTCGGGCTGCGTACGAGGCGTTGTCAACCTGGAGAAACAAAAAGAGGCAAGAAGTTTGACACTTGCTGCAGGACAGAGCGGGCATGCAAATGAATGCTACTGTTTGGGAATGAGAGCATTGTTGGAATTTGGTCGAGGATGTGCGCTGTCAACAAGGTTGGCGGTCCAACATGTGGTTTCAAAGTCTTATTGCTAACATGCTTGATACGGTCGGAGGCCTCAGTTGTTGACAGGGCAGAGTTGTGTCCCGCAGGGCGGCGGCTTTCATGATTCGACCTGCGAAGGGAAGGCTCCACCTCCCGTTGATTCTCGCAAGGCAGGGTGTTTACTGTGAATACAGTCTCATTGAAATGTGGACGGCAGCAGGCATGTCCGAAGGGGTCAAGATGCAGAGATCGAAGTGAAACCCACTTGAAGGCCTAGCCGACGCAGCTGCGTTGTGCAGGCTGCTTGCTTTGATGTGCAGGCCATGGCACACCCCCTGGACGAGGACGTGCTGCAGTTTTTCTTGCCAGCTCAGCACCAGCATGGTTAGCCCTCCATGCGTGCATGTTTGCCTGGGTCATCCTGGGTCACGTCAGCAGATGTTTTGCTTCGTAGTAGAGATTTGCTCAACATCTAAGGCATTTAGCATTGAGGGTTCTTAAACAAGGCAAGTCCATGAGCACCAACACGCAGTCTACATCCAGAACTCAACCCGAACAATTGGGTGCTTCGATCGCATCACAATTCAAGGTTTAGCATCGCATGCAGGAGAGCACCCTGCATGCTTCCTACATTGTGACTTGTGACTGGAACCAGCACTGAAAATCATGGGCAAGAAGCAGAAAAAGCAGCCGAAAGAATCGGAGGACAAGCCCAAGAAACAGGCTCTCACGCAAGAGGGAGCTCTGTCGCGAAGGTTCAAAGAGGTTCTCGTCGAGATCTTCAGGCGCTTCGACCAGGATGCGGATGGAGTCCTCTGCGATGAGGAGCTGCAGGCATTCAGCCGAGTTGCCAACAAGGATGGCAGGGAGTTCACAGATGCAGAGCTGAGTGAGATGAAGTCTATGTTCCACTGGAAGTCAGATGAGGCCTCAGAGACCTCCGGCTTAACTCTCCGCGGGTTTGTGCAGCTCTACGAGCGCCAAACAGCCATCTCGGAAGAGGAGACATGGTCAGACCTCACACGACTGGGCTACAATTCTCTCCTCCAGAGCGAGGCGCCTGCACATCCACCACAGGATGGTGTGGAGGGCGAGGCAGAAGGCGATGCGCCTCGGAGCCAACTTGAGCATTTAGAGGCAGAGCTCAAGGTTTTTCATTCCTCGCCCGACAAGCTTATGGTATGTCTCTCTGCTGATGCAGAGCAGATCTGCGCTGTGTCGAAGTTGGCAACTGCCATGGGGCTGGAGTGCCGAATGCTTCTTGCAGACTCTTCGGACATTCCCAGCCTGCACGTCTTTAAACGACCCGAACCTCTTCAGGATTCGTTGAGATGTGCATCGCCGTCTGCAGGCAGTGGAAAGGGATCTGCTGTCTTTGCAGGACTCGAGCTAGATGCCGACTGCTGCAAGCAGCTACTTGATGCCTTTGGCGACTTCGTCCCTGCTGGCTGGCAAGTCTTTGCCCATCATATGACAATCTGTTTGGGAACACTGGCTGATGCTCGAGCGAATAGTGCAGAGGTGTCGGGTGATCTTCAAGAATCCATACGTCAGCTAAGACCTGGAGAAAGGCTTGCTCTCGAGCCTGTCTCCATCGGCGAGGCTGACGGGGTTGTAGCTCTTGGTGTGATAGGCTGTCCTTCAGTCAATCGCACTCCGCACATAACGTTGGCCTGTGCGAAGGGACACAGGCCAGTTGAAAGCAACAAGATTTCAAAGTGGCATGCGTTGCCACCTGAGAGGCTAATACAATTTTCCGGCCGTGTCAAAGAGTACCAGCAGGCTGAGGTCTCTGCTGGGTTGACAGCTGCTGGCACGCAAGATCGGCAAGACCTACTTAGACGTTTGGAAGTCCTGGAGGCTGAAGTTTTGGCCGCACGCGCGATTTGCATGAAGGAGCTCTTAGAGTCTGACGACGCAGCAGTTCGCCGCGCTATCGATGAGCGTGAGCGCGAGCTTGCCTGCCTGACCAAGCTGGGTGAGCAGGATGAGAAGTGGCAAGCTGCGAAGCCGGTTAAGGGCAAGCAAGGAAAAGAGCGCTTGTGCTTCAGGATAAGGTGCGGTGCAGAGCTCTTCAGCTTCGTGCCTGTCAGCTTCATCTGCTTGATGCCAAAGGACTATGCCATTGCCTGCTCCATGACCAAGGCAAGATTCTGTCTTGGCAGCTTTGTTCACGCCCGATCCGTGTTGTGTAGCCGACTGGTTGGCTTCTCAAACCGAAGCATGCTTGATTGGAAGCACAGCGCATGGTGCAGGACATTCAGCCTGAGCAGATCAGCCTTAAAGTGGTCTTCGCGCCCACCTCGGCTTGGCCTGCTGGCCAGCATGCAAAAGATATTTAGGGTCAGTTGTCTCTCGCTGAGGATTGGAGTGATGCCGACGGCTCTGGAAAGCTGTCCAGGAAGGAGCTCGAAGGTTCCCTGGAGAAGATCAGGCAGGGGTCGTAGAGATTTTGCCAGCTGCAATCCCCTTGTCTGATTCCAAGGGCCTGCTGCGGATCGCTGCCTGAGATCACCGATGAGGCCTTCCGTCATCCTCTCAGATCTTTCAGAATATTTGTTTTGCCAAAGGCGTGGCATCATCTTGACGAGGACGCTGGCTAGTTGTCTTGCTACTCGGTGCCTGTGCTGGCTTCTGTTTTGAAAGGATGGCAACGGCGTGGTCAACTTTGGCGAGTTTGCAGCATGGGCGGGACCTCGTTTGGGATTGGAACTAGGCGGGCCACGTCTCCCCATCTGGCCCGCGTTCAGGGCCTGCAGTGCTGTAGCACATTTGGCTGACTCCTTCCACCTGCAGGCGTCAAGAAGATGCTTGGCAAGCCAGCAGCTCAAAAGGCTGTCTTCTTGTGCGTGTGGCTGGTGCAGATTTTGGCAACTGCGGATGTGAGGTCCGCCAGTTTGATGATGTCTTCTTCACCATGTGGGGTTTTGGGCTGCCCATGTGAAAACTACATGGGGGACGAGGCCCTGGGGTGCTCGTTGGTACAGGCCTCTCTTGCCTTTCCTCGCAGGAAAAGCGGCATGAAAAGAAGTGCAAGGACACCACCTCTCGGTTGTTCTTAGGCGCAGCCTGCCTTTGGTACTTTGCCATGTAGTCCTTAGAAGTAAAGCCGGGGCGTTGGTCCACAATCTTGCGCCTTGTGTTCATCAGGACTGCAAGCACAAGGGAAGCCTGCACGTGGCGCCAAGGCTGACATCAGGTGAAGTGCCGTCTGAACCTTGAAGGAAGCTCCTTCAGTGTTGTGGAGTTCCTGTAGATCTTGTAATGATGCACTCAGGTTCCCTGGCTACTGGAAGAATCATGATGGGGACTTCAACGAACTCATTTCCATGACAGGCCAGTATTCTTGCTTAGAAGCCCGACACGAAAATATGAGGTACATCTGCACATCTCCCCAAATGCCTGAATGCGTCTAAATTTACACCTAATTACACCTATTCTGGGAAACTGCCGAAGGGGCAAGGATCGCATCTTGGACTCCCACTGAACTACTCAGAGGGCAAGGGGATGCCTCCACTGAGCACGTGCCTTGGCCGAAGGAAAGCTCGATGAGTGGCAGAAGCTCTTGGAAGAAACATATAGGCCCTGCTCTCAGCCGGGTTGATGTGGCCTGCGGCCATTTCTTAAGAAAGTTGTGTGCCTCTTGTCCAGGAAAGCATACACGAAAGACCGTGGAAAGCACAATCCAACAAATCCCAAGGCCGCTGGGAGATGGTTTTTGCTGCGAGCACTCGCAAGTCTCCCCTTGATTAGGAGCAGATTTCTGTGTGATTTGAGCTGTGTTTCTTTAGTCTGATTCAGAGCCTGCGTGACGGTGATGCTTTTGTCGTTTGTCGAGGCGTTTATGGCAAAGAAAACGCTTTGTCATACGGTAGGATAGCTCCCTGGGACGATAGAACCGCTCTAGCCGGCTTTTTCCGACCTTCCGGGAAAGACTTGCTGAGAAACTCAAGCTTTCAGCAGACAGTCTTGCATACTTTCACTTGGAGGTCCCATCGGGCTTTGAGGTGGTGAACGTGAAGCGCAATGAGAACAAGAATTCTTGGCAGGATCATGCAGCTGTGCTAGGTCACGCTGGGGTGCTTGTGCGGCTGCAAGCACTTGCCTGAGGAGTATGCGTGTCGCCGTGGCGATGTCTTGGCCAGAGAGGAGCCGCCGGTGCCCAGGTGGCATCAGGAGTTATCATGCCTTAAGAGCAGCTGGACGTCAAACTTGGCTTTTGTGATCTTTCCAAGGAGCTATTTGCAGACGTAAAGACCAGCGTGGCAATGGAAAAGATCGGGGGAGCCAAGGCCTGCTTCCGCTAGCTCTGGTTGCAGGGAGGAAGTCAGGTGCAACAATTGGCGGGCATAGCTGGCTGACTTAGGACTTAGGCTTAATTTGTGATCGCAGGAGCTTTTCCGCACTCATCTGCTGCTCATTGTGCAGAGGATGTCCGAATTGAAGCGCATTGGGGCAGGTTTCTGGTCAGCTGAACGTAACAACGGTACTCTGGGAGAGAGACAATTGTGCGGACCTTTCTCATCTGGGCGGTTCGGTACCCAAGCTGGCTTGCCAGCCACGGAGTTAAGGATATTTCCTGACGCTCAGCATTCAAGACCTCGGGCGCAGAGCACAGTCCCGGGTGTGGCAGCGCTGACAGCCAACAAGATTTTTGAGGAATCATGTGCCGGTCTGGCCTCTCAGAGCAAGCGCGGAGGCAGTCCGCGTTTGTTTACATCCTATTCCAAGAAAATCCCACTGGCTTGTAAGCCTGTACTCCAAGAGCTCAGATCGGGCCACATCACTCCAAAATTGCCACGACGACCTCTCACCTCGTTGCGGTTTTTATCATTCTAAGCTGAACGTTGTGTTGCAGAGCAAGAGGTGGGATGCCAGCAGCTCCATCTGTCTGTAGAATCTGGTGGATTGTGGAAACATTGTCCTGCCAAGCTGTGCATAGCCAGGCGAACCGTCTTCACTCAGAGTGTTCCTTGGATGAGCTGAATGACAAGTTACTGTTTCTGCATGGGCTGGCGCGTAAGACGACCTAGCCTGTTCTTGCAAACTCAGTCTGCATCATGGGCTTTTGGAAAGATGTGCAACAGGACCTAGCCCTGAATGGATTTCAGGCAATGAGTGGTATCTCTTTCATGGGACCAACCCTGCGGCTGCCGAAGCCATTTGCCCATGCCTTGACCTGGGCAACCACCAAGAGAACCGTACTTTCCGATGCATCCAGGTCAGACCGATTTCAAGGTCAGTCGGGCTGGATCAAGCACTGGCACACTTTACGGTAAAGGACCAACTGACGTTCATGCCTGTGTGTCCATCTGCTCCAGTACGAAGACGGAAGTCGAGTAGTCAGCAAAGTAGAGTCAGCACAGGACTGTACTTTGCTGAGTCCATCACAAAGGCGCAGTGGGCCAATTTGTTCTCCCATTCCTAAAGACTTTGCTGAAATGAGGGGCTGTTGCAGGCTGATGAGTATGCGAAGCCGAACGGTGATGGCCTGTATGCGGCAAGGGTCTCAACTCCTTGGCACAGCCGTCTCCTCTTGGGGCGTTGTCAGCCCACGAACCTACACTGTTTCTGAGTTTCATCTTGCACGCGCCTGCTGGCTAACCTTTGCAGGTGCTGGTTTGCCGGGTTCTCGGGGGCAAAGTGCACTACACCGATGAGGTGTCTCCCGATCCTGAGGCTTGGTTCTTAGGCTGCTCCACTAGGTCATTCTCTTCCCTTCTCATAACATCTGGTGAACAAGATCAATGCTGCGAGGCACTTGTGCAGTCCTGCATCGAGGGTCCTTACGATTCCGTATGTGGTGACCGAGAAAAGACTCGTGGCACCTACAGGCAGGCAAAGAATTTAGGCTTGTACTGGAGATCAGAAATGGCCATTCCTTTCAACAGCCGGTGAGGGAGTTCGTCCTCTTCGACTCGGAAGACGTGTATGTGGAGTATGTCGTAGCCCCATCCACCCTGTTGTGACTTCTTAGGCTGGGTTGGGCAGCCAATCAGAAGAGTGCCGATCTTGACGTATGTCTTACATAGTATATGAGTGTATATGACATGGTATCTGCCTAGCCTCTCCGGATTGCGGGGGATCTTGTCGGCTCAGAGTAAGGGCACGGCATTGCCATCTGATAGTCCCTGAGATCTGTCAACTGCTTTGTGTTGCGTCATGGCCGTGTGCAAAGCTTTCGTCATTGCGCTGGTGGCCTGTG